AATGGTTAGAAAAAGTAATATATACAAGCTATACCTGTATGGACAGAGAGAAAGAGAAGGGTAAAGTAAATGTGGCAAAACGTTAACATTTGGGGAATGTAGAAAATGTATATAGGAATTTGTACTATTATTCCAACTTTTCTATAAGCTTAATAGTAAGCAGTTTAAAACATTAGAAGAGGATCAACCAACTGGAATGGGGCACGTTCTAAAGGAAACAATTCTAAGGCCTTATGGTCGAGATGCAGTGAGCTGTGTGGGCAGCCAGGGCTCTGGGATGTCCTAATGAGGCAGGCTCAGGAACAACAGATGCAGCATCCCAGCCAAACTGACTGGTGGGGCAGACAGAGGTGAGGAACATTGGATCGGAAGCCCGGTCCACTTACAGAGATGGGTCAGGATCCAAGGAGGCATGGTGAGCTGGGTTTGGTTCAGATGGGCATCCATCCAAGGAGTTTCAGTGGGAAGGTGTGACGGTTAGTACTGAGTGTCAACTTGATTGGATTGAAGGATGCAATATTGATCCTGGGTGTGTCTGTGAAGGTGTTGCCCAAGGAGATTAACATCTGAGTCAGTGAACTGGGAAAGGCAGACCCACCCTTAATGGGGTGAGCAGCATCTAATCAGCCGCCAGCGAATAGAAAGCAGGCAGAAAAACGTGAAGAGGTGAGATGGGCCTAGCTTCCCAGCCTACATCTTTCTCCCCTGCTGGACGCTTCCTGCCCTCAAACATTGGGCTCCAAGTTCTTCAGTTTTGGGACTTGGATTGGCTCTCCTTGCTCCTCAAGCTTGCAGACAGCCTATTGTGGGACCTTTGATCGTGTACGTTATTACTTAATAAACTCCCCTTTATATATATACACACACACATAAACATATATATACAATACATATGTATATATATACGTGTACATATATGTATATATATGTATCTCCTATTAGTTTTGTCCCTCTAAGAGAACCCTGACTAAATACAGAAGGTGAGGTGGAAAAGCCAGGAGACCAGTCCTGTTGCTGGAGGTGGAGGAACGCATGCTCAGCAGCACCACCCCCATCCTCCAACTGCACACCCAACACGGGAGCATCTAATCAACATAGTGATGAGTGAAGTAAGCTGCACACAAAATGTCCTTGTGAAGCTCACATACAGGCAAAACAAACAGATGGTGATGAAGGTCATATTCATGTCCACAGGGAGTGGATATTAGCTGGGAAGGGCAGGAGGGAAGTTGGTGGGTCCTGGAAATGTTCTATATCTTGATCTGGGTGTTGGTTTCAGTTTATCAAGATGAGCGCTTATGCTTTGTGCATATTTTTCTGTAATGTGTAAATCCTCCATTTAAAAAGGTTTGGATCGCCCCACCCCCACCTTGGCACAGAGCACTGAAATCACATCCATCTAAGTGAGGCATTCACGGAGATTCAATAGAGACACGATTTACGCTGTTTGTTATTTCGTTGCTAAGCAACACAGTCTAAGCTGCATAACCAAGTGACACCAACCATTAACAGCCAACATGGTGAGGAGGGGTGGGTGTGCTAAGACAAGGAGCCCAGCGTGAGGGCTGTGGATGATTCCTGCTCCTAGCCCCCATTTTGCTGTTGGCGGTGGGGGCTGGGGGTTGGGGGTGCAGTGAGCAGTGCAGACCAAACAGAAGGCCTGGCCCCTCCTGGTGTGCGCTGGCTGCAGTGAGCCCTTTCTATGTCTGCCTGCTGCATCCATCGCTATGGCAACCACTTCCCCAGCACCGGGGCTAAAATGAGGTTCTGTGGGTGTCTCAGCAGTGACTGGAGATCTCCCATGCCATAGAATTGAGCTGCCTGATGAGGAGACAGAGAAGTCACTGCAGGGAAAGGCTGAGACTTGCTGAGCAGGGCCATTCCTGCCGAAGTGGCACAGATTTGAGGCTGGCGCACAGGCCTCAGAGAGAGTGGTGAAGGCTGTCTGAAGGCAGGGGCGGGAAGGATGCCAACAGAAAGACCTAAGGACTGGTTAAAATGAAAATGATGTGGAAATAAACAAAGACCACCCAATGAGAACAAGCAAAGGCTATTCAGGGCTTGCTGTAGAAAAGGAGGCGGCTGCCATTCCTAGTGTTTGGCAGAGACTGAAGGCAGGCAGAGGAGCGGAAAGCTTCACAGTGGAGGAGGAGAGGCTCCAGGTGTGCCCCGATGAAGGCTGCAAGCCTGAGGAAGCCTCAGGTGGCTCACCAGAAGCGAGGCATCCCATTGATTGGGTAGGGGAGCATGTTGGGCTTTCTCTAGTCCTAAATTGGAAGCAGCAGGAAAAAGTAGGGAAGCCAGTCATTATTGATGACATCCTGACCGTTCTGGGCAGATTGCTGTGGACGCTGTGGTTTGGCATCCTGGACTGTCTGCTGCAGATGGCAGGTCACAGTTCTGCTGTCATCTGTGGGCTGGCTGCCGTCTGTATATTCTGTCTCTCAATGCAGCAGCTGCGCAGGTCAAGAAAGAGGTCCCTACTATCTATCAACCAGGAGATGGGCCCTTTGCAGTGCAGGGACACAGCTGTGAGGGCTACCCCAGGAGAAGGAGGACATGAAGCCTCACAGGAAGGAAGGCATAACAATGCCCTGGTCTGTTTGGGGAATACAGACAAGAAGAAAGGTCTATATGTGTTTAGTACAGATGAACCTGTCCTTGATCCACAGTTGGTTGAAGTCATGGATGCAGAACCCATGAGTACAGAGGGACAACTGTATATTTAAAGAGACTCACCAGTTAGAGAGCTACTCATCTGGGACCTAGGGAGCTGACCTGATACCCATTGTAACCACACGCAGCACAGGAGTTTGAAACTCTAGGCCAGGGAGGTAAGTGAGGTTAAATATCTGACTGAACTCAGAAACCTCCAAGGAGCCCCACATGCTTTCCTGACACAGGCCCTGGGGCCATTTCTCAAGTGCAGCCACTCAGGAGGTGTGAGGCCTGGGCAACTCGCTGCACCTGAGTGTTCTCCGCCTCCGTCCTGGCCTCGTTGGTTGGATGGTGCTTGCGCTCAGCAAGTGCTCCACCCATGCTGGATACTGCAATTATTTTAGAGCTTCTGAATAACTGGTTACAATTTCAATTAAAAATATTGTTAGAATCAATGTCAGTCTCTATTGGTGCAGCCATGAACTAAATGTCAGAAGCCTGGACTCAGAGTGGGGGAGAGAAGTGGATTGAAGGGCCAGCAGTAGAAATACAGCACCTCTAGGTACAAGGAGAGGGTACATGTAGTCCTGCCTCCGCTATCCGCCCTCCTCAGACTGGCCGATTCCCCTAGAACTCTGCGTTTTGAGTGAGGGAGGCGTAGTTCTATAAAAGAAAGGAGGATATTATTGCCAGGAGAAGAAGGAAGGAGAACTTAATGGACAAACATAACATGCACATGCACTCAATGTTTGTGGTCAAATAGAAGACTTAAGCCTAAGGGATCTAGAAATTCTAGTTAGATCCCGAAGTTACATCTAAGCAGTCATAATGGTGATCATTATGTGACTTCTCTAACTGATGTGGCTTCTCTAACTGATGTTGTAAAAATGATTCTCGCCCAGTAAAGCTAGGCAGTAGTTTTTAATCTAACTGTAGCCTTCGCCTTCTTTGAGGACAGAAATCAGGCCTTAGACTTGCCTAATCTTCTTGTTTTGGGGATCTTCCATAGCATATTATACAGAATAAGCACTCAAATGATGTTTGATGATAACTGTCTTGTTTCAGTTCAGGCTGCTATTTCAGAATATCATAGACTGAGTGGCCTAAATCCTATAAGAACACTAATTCCATCATGGGGACCTCGTCTTCACGACCTCATCTAAGCTCAATTATCTCCCAAAGGCCTCATCTCCTAGTACCATCACACTGGGGATTAGGATTTTAACATATGAATTTTGGGGGGGACACAAACATTCAGTCCATAAAACAATAAAGACACATGAGAAGCTAACAAGAGAGATTTAGCGTCAGAGCTCAATGGTTTCCATGAACAATGGAGTGAGATATGCCAGATAGTTCCTCAAGGTTCCTCTGGATTCCATGTGTCTAAGATAAAAACTCTTAGGAAGAGTTTCACTTTGGAGCAAATATACAATTTCAGGTTAGAGGTCAAAATACCAGATGAAAATGTGTGATCTCTCCACAATATCTGTGAGGGACTGGTTTCCGGACCCTGCACCCAAAATCCATGGGTGATCAAGTTCCTTATATAAAATGGCATAGAATTTGCATGTAACCTATTCATATCTTCCCATATACTTTAAATCATGTCTCGATTACTTATAATGCCTAATACAATGTAAATGTTATGTAAGTAGTTGGTGTACCATATATTTATGTTTACTTGTTTGAAACAGGGTCTCACTCTGTCGTCCAGGCTGGAGGACTGTGGTGTGATCACAGCTCACTGCAGCCTTGACCTCCTAGGCTCAAGTGAACCTCCCACCTCAGCCTCCTGAGTAGCTGGGACTACAGGCACACACCACCATGCCTGAATAATTAAATTTTTTTTTTTTTTTTTTGTAGAGATGGGGTCTATGTTGCTTAGGCTGGTCTCAAACTCCCGGGGCTCAAGCAATCCTCCTGTCCCAGCCTCCCAAAGTGCTGTGATGACAGGCGTGAGCCACTATGCTTGGCTTGTCATACTATTTCATTTAGGGAATACAGACAAGAAGAAAAGTCGATACATGTTTAGTGCAGATGAACGTATTCTTGATCCACAGTTGGATGAATCCATGGATGCAGAACCCACGAACAGGGAGGGCCTGCAGTAGATTTATTTATTTGTTTATGTATTTTTGAGACAGTCTCACTCTGTTGCCCAGGTTGGAGTGTAGTGGCACAATGTTGGCTCACTGCAGCCTCTGCCTCCTAGGTTCAAGTGATTTTCCCACTTCAGCCTCTTGAGGAGCTGGGATTACAGGTGTGCACCACCATGCCTGGCTAATTTTTATATTTTTTTAGTAGAGAAGGATTTCACTATGTTGGCAAGGCTGGTCTTGAACTCCTGGGTTCCAGTGATCCTCCCTCCTCAACCTCCGAAAGTGCTAGGATTACAGGTGTGAGCCACCCCACCCAGCCCCTACTGTATATTTAAAGAGACTTGTCCATTAGAGAGATACTCATCTGCCACCTAGGGAGCTGGCCTAAGAATCACTGTAGCCATACGCAGCACAGAAGTCTGAAACTCTAGGCTCAGCTGCAGCCTTTTCGGTGATGAAGTCAATGCTGAAGTCTAGACTAGTGATGAATGAGGTAGCTGTAAGCATGTATAGTTCGTAACCCACTGCTGGGTTGGTGTCCTCCTCCAAATAGGCCCTCCTTATTTGCTTCCTGCGGCTGCTGTAATAAATTATCACAAACTGGGAGGCTTAAAGCAACAGATGTTTATTCCCTTCCAGTACTGGAGTTAAGAAGTCTGAAATCAAGGTGTTGGCAGGGCCACATTTCCTGCCGAGGCTCTGAGAATCCATTCCTTGTGTCCTTCAGCTTCTGGTGGCTGCCAGCATTCCTTGGCCTGTGGTTGCATCATTCCAATCTTTGCTTGAACCCAGGAGGCAAAGGTTGCAGTGAGCTGAGACTATGCCACTGCACTAAGAAAAAAAAAAAAGAAAAGAATTGGAGATTGACACAAACAGAAAAAGCACGTTTTATCTTACTGGAAAAATTATGGGAGAATTTTGTGGTAAAGAGCTTAGAAGGTTTTGTAAGATAAACTTATCTTTATAAATAACAAGAATGTTTTAAATAACATGCACTTTCAAATTTAAGAACCATTTTAAAATTTGGCTCTCCTGCTTAATGAATAAGATAAAAATGAAAGGATCTGAGGATTTACTCCATAGAATACTTACTGAATGATGAGACTTGGCAACCACCACTTTAACCAAGTACTCAAACTCAGAATGTGAATCATGGCACAACCTGACTTTCTGGCCTCCTGATGTACTGTAACATGAAAAACACATAACCAGCCAGGCGAGGTGGCTCACGCCTGTAATCCCAGCACTCTGGGAGGCCAAGATGAGTGGATCACTTGAAGTCAGGAGTTCAAGACGAGCCTGACCAACATGGTGAAACCCTGTCTCTACTAAAATACTAAAAATACAAAACACAAAATTACAAAAATTAGCTGGGCGTGGTAGTGTGTGCCCGTAATCCCAGCTGCTTGGGAGGGTGAGGCAGGAGAATAGCCTGAACCTGGGAGGCGGAGGTTGCAGTGAGCCAAGATCACACCAATGCACTCCAGCCTAGGCAACAGAGCGAGACTCCATCTCAAAAAAAAAAAAAAGAAAAAAAGAGGGGGTGCCGCGCGCGGTGGCTCACGCCTGTAATCCCAGCACTTTGGGAGGCCAAGGCAGGCGGATCACAAGGTCAGGAGATCGAGACCATCCTGGCTAACATGGTGAAACCCTGTCTCTACTAAAAATACAAGAAATTAGCCAGACATGGTGGCAGGCGCCTGTAGTCCCAGCTACTCGGGAGGCTGAGGAAGGAGAATGGCATGAACCCGGGAGGCGGAGTGCACTCCAGCCTGGGTGACAGAGCGAGACTCCATCTCACACACACACAAAAAAAAAGAGAGAGAGAGAGAGAAAAGAAAAACACATAATCATCTATCAAATATTCTTGCAAAAACATGTTTAACTTGAATCAGATTAAGCCTCTAAGCCTACCTTCTAGTTTGTAGGAAATACAGGGGCTAAAGGAACAAGCTAATGACACCAGTCAGGAATCAATCAGATAAATCTACCATGAAAGACATTCATTGCATGAAACAATTGTTCTGTGGTCTTCCAAAAGGCATTGTCATTGGAAAACAAAAAGTACAGGGACCATTCTAGACTAAAGGAGATGGACTGTAGGGACCAAACCAGTAGCAATACAGGAAACCAGATTGGACCCTTGTTAAACAAACTAACAAAATTATAAAGGTCATTCTTGGGACAATTAGAGAAACTTTAGAGTCTATATATTATTATGGTGTGGAAATGGTTTTCAAGGAGATTATTCTAACCTTAGGAGATACATGCTAAAGTATTTAGGGGCAAAGATGTTCAAATATATATATTTTGGTCAGGCTTGGTGGCTTGTGCCTGTAATCCCTGCACTTTGAGAAGCCAAGGTGGGACGATCACTTGAACTGAAGAGTTTGAGATCAGCCTAGCTAACATGGTGAAACCCCATCTCTACTAAAAGTACAAAAATTAGCTGGGTATGGTGGTGCACGTCTGTAATCCCAGCTACTTGGGAGGCTGAGGCACCAGAAGCACTTGAGCCCGCGAGGCGGAGGTGGCAGTGAGCTGAGATTGCACCATTGCACTCCCGCCTGAGCGACAGAGCGAAACTGTCTCAAAAGAAAACTATATATATATACACACACACACACACACATGAACTATATATATGAACTTACACATATTTGGAAATCATAATATATAATATTTCCAAATGATACAGAAAGGAATATCATTAAAATAAATATGGCTAAATATTAACAATTGTTGAATATAATGAGCATACAGGTGTTCATTATATTAATCCTTTAACTTTTCTGAATATTTCAAAATGTTTATAACAAAAGTTTGGAGAAAAGAACAGCTGGTCTTCAAGGCCTTCATTTTAGTGACAATCTGGGTTAAATTGTAAGTATTTTTATGTGAATATTGTATAAGAAACACATGGTGCTCTAGTTTGATTATTTAACTTGGTGTATATCACTGTTGAGCATATCTGCATGAAGTACTGAAAATGAATTCATTATAACCAAGAAATCCCGATGTAAGAGCATAGACACACTAACCCTAACGTATGGTTGTTACTGGATTGATTTTTCAGCTATGGTATGAATTTGTCTTTTCCTAAGAAAAGCATTCACACACATGTTGCTATTTCAGTGACATAAAGTATCTCCTGGAAAATCATAGTTACTCATTCAGCCAAAATTTAGTGACACCCTACTATGTGTCAAGCCCTGTATTGGCCTCAGCGATACATCGGTACATGAAACGAGGCCTCTGCCATTGGGGAGCCACAGGCCACAGACTCTCACATGCCTAAGGACAGCCACGCCCTCGCCCATGGAAAAGTGCAGAGTTCTCTGAAGATTTTGCTTGCATGCAACCTAAAAAATTATGCATTGCATATCCTCATTTCTCGATGAATACAATTTTATATTTTATGTTTAAATGGTGGCAAAAGATGTAATTCCAGTTTAAAAATTGAGATTTTAAAATAAAATTGTTTCATTACTCTTTTTTAAATAGTCATAGTGTAGTAGCTTTATCATCTGTGTTTGCTAACTTCCATACCTGAGGTCTTTGTGGATGGTTTCTGCTACCTGTTGCGTGTTAGTTCTTGTGCTAAATGTGAAGTGTGTGTGTGTATTGTATATACACCAACACACACATATCTATCTGTCAAAGAATCTCCACAAATAAATTTCTAGGGACAATGAGTAGCATACAGGTACATTCTTCCACAGAGAATTTGTGTTTGCTTTTGCCAGGTGCTTAGGGGATCCCAGCAGCCCAAGATTACTTCAAACTAAATTCACTGCTTAAGATTATTTGATCACTAGGGTATGGATTTGGGGTACAGTCTATGCCAGGGCTGATTCACGGGTACAAATTTTCAGGAACTTTTAAAAAATAAGGCTCAGATAAGTTTCTTAGAAGTTTCCAGCAGAAGTCAGATTTACTTGGTTCACCATTCCGAGATAGCAGCAGTGTGAGTCTTGGGTGAGGCTCCTGGTGGAAGGTCCCTTAACAGATGCCTTACCTTGGGCAGGCTCTGGACTTTGACAGCCGTCCTTCTTGCTGCTAGAAACTGTCAAACAGAAGTTCAAGTTTGTCTGGTTCAGCAAAACAAAAGCAGCCTTCATGTTCCATTTACTTTTTGGTATTCTCTCCTGTCCTTAGATTTTGGCCCAGTAGGCCAGGCATGGTGGCTCATGCCTGTAATCCTAGCACTTTGGGAGGCTGAGGCAGATGGATCATTTGAAGTCAGGAGTTTGAGACCAGCCTGGCCAACATGGTGAAACCCTGTCTCCACAAAAAATGCAAAAATTAGTCAGGTGTGGTGGCACATGCCTGTAATCCCAGCCACTCAGGAGGCCGAGGCGGGAGAATTGCTTGAACCCAGGAGGCAGAAGTTGCAGTGAGCAGAGATCACACCACTCCAGCCTGGGCAGCAGAGTGAGGGAGACTCCATCTCAAAACAAAAACAACAACAACAACAAAAAAAGATTTTGGTCTGGTAGTTACCTTACTATTTTTGTCAGGCCTTCAGTGCTTTAAAGAATCTGTTTTCTATATTTTTCTATAGAATTTCCAACTGTTGGTCTAAAAAACCCAGTCTGCCATAGTCTTAGAAAGGGAAGAGAACATCACCACTTTTCTCAATACTTTACATGAGAGGGTCTTTTAACCTAGGATTCATGCATGGAGTTCAAGGCATCTATATACCCCCCTGAAATTGCAGGCAATGTTCTGTGTTTAACCAACTTTTTCTGGGAACAAAATCCATAGATTTTATCAGATTGTTAAAGGTGTCAATGATGGAGACACCCTCAAATTTGGTAACTATTGCTTTAGAGTTCTATCGGTACCTAGTAATTTAATTAAAAAATGATTTTAGAATAATTTCGAACTCACAGAAAAGTTGCAAGTAGAGTGCAAGACAATCTCCACATTGTCCTCACCCAGATTCGCCAATGTTAACTCCTCCCTGACCCCACGCACAATGAGTCTTTTTCTGAACCATTTGGGAACAAGCTTCAGACCTGAGTCCACATTACCCCTAAATGCTATAGTGGGCATTTCCCCAGACAGGAGGAATCGAGAAGTTAACCTTGCCATTCACAGACCATTCACAGAATCTATTTAAAGTTTCAATTTTTCAATTTCAACTGTCCCAAGAATATATTTTTTAAAAAATTGGGCTGGGTGGGGTGGCTCATGCCTGTAATCCCTGCACTTTGGGAGGCCGAGGCGGGTGGATCACAAGGTTAGGAGTTCAAGACCAGCCTGGCCAAGATAGTGAAACCCCATCTCTACTAAAAATACAAAAATTAACCAAGCATGGTGGTGGGCACCTGTAATCCCAGCTACTCAGGAGGCTGAGACAGAGAATTGCTAGAACCCAGGAGGCAGAGGTTGCAGTGAGCTGAGATCATGCCACTGCACTCCAGCCTGGGCGACAGAGCAAGACTCTGTCTAAAAAAAAAAAAAAAAAAAAAAATGTGTATAATATTTACTTCACAGGATTGCTGTGGATGTTCATTGGACATCATAAGGAGTTTGGTTAGTTGTCATTTTTAGTTTGTTTAGTACTCAAAAACATTACACTGTGTCCCCCTACACTTCGCCTCTTACTCATTGCTTATTGGGGTATGGAAAGCCAGCATCGCTACAGTATTCTCCCAGCACAGTACACACACACACACGCACCCACCCCAGGCTGGAATCATGGGTATACTATGTCTTTAATAAAGTATCTTTCTTGGCCAGGCACAATGGCTCACATCTGTAATCCCAGCACTTTGGGAGGCCACGGTGGGTGGATTGCTTGAGCCCAGGAGTTCAAGACTAGCCTGGGCAACATGGTGAAACCCCATCTATACCCAAAACAAACAAACAAACAAACACACAAAAAACAAAAATTAGCTGGACATCATATGCCTGTTATCCCAGCTACTTTATACTCGGGAGGCTGAGGTGGGAGAATCACTTAAGCCAGGCAGGTGGACTGTTTCAATGAGGCAAGATCATGCCACTGCACTCCAGCCTGGGTAACAATGTCTCAAAAAAAAAAAAAAAAAAAAAGTATTTTTCTTGATTGGACAATGAGAACTCTAATACTGATAGATATCTATTGTTTTGTCCTCCCCCTTCTTGTGGGAGACGGTCTTTCTCCACTTCCACAAGGTAGTGTCCATTGTTCTTACCTGAACATGGCAGTTACAAGAACATGACAATGTCCACGTTCTTAAAGATCCTAGATCTTTGGCACAATCATTTGATTCAGGGGCAGGCAACTAGCTGGACCAATGAACTATCCTTCCCTGAGAATTTTTAACTTGGGACTAGAGATCATGAGCCTTACCTCGCCTATCTGATGATGGGGCAGAAGATGAAATGTTGGGAGCTGTCAGTGGCCTTGTTTCCAGACATATGGAGGAAGCTGGTCCAACAGTATGAAGCCAACGTGCAGAGAGAGAGGCAGAGCTGAGGCATGGGGGCAGAGAGGCATTCTCGTTCCAGTAGTCCCAGCAGTCCCTCCCCTTCTTGGAGTCTGCCCATATGAACAGTACATTCCTCCCTTCTGCCTAGCAGTTGAGTTCCTGTCAATGGCAACCAAGAGAGGTGTGACTGATTCATGTATTGGAAGGGCTGTTGTGAGAACCAGTGCCTGACTCACAGTGGGGACTCAACAAATGTTGGTTTATTACTCCTATATTTAATGCCTAAGTCTGAATGCGAAAAGGTTAGGGCAATTCCAGAAGGAATTACTATGCAGAAGGGAGAATTAGTTAAAAGGTTAACTTTCCTTTGAACATCACAAGGGAAGGCATGTAAAGACAAAAGGAAGGCTCCCTCCACGCCCCCCATACACACACATTCCCTTCATCCTAACCTGGCTCTGCAGCTCTGAGGGTCATGTACCTGCCCTTGGCACTACCAGTACTTCCTCCAGCAAACCTCAGTCTTTCTTTCAGAATCCTTCGCCCTTATGCCATATAACATGATAGATCTGATCGTCCTGATCTCTTCCCCTAGTCTCAGCAGGCCAACAAGTGTTCTGCTACAGGTCTTCCAGGGAGGGTTAGCTCTTGTTGGAGTTGGATCGGAAGGAGGGGAGCTGGGGAAAGAGCTGTCTTCAAATTGTTTCTTGGGAGGTAGAATATATAAACATATTTACGCAGGGCATAGCGGCACACGTCTGTAACCCCAGCACTTCAGGAGGCCAAGGCGTAAAGATCGCTTGAAGACAGGAGTTCGAAATCATACTGGTCAATATAGTGAGACTGCAGTAAGCCATTATCGCACCACTGCATTCCTGCCTGGGTGACAATGCGAGACCCCTTCTCAAAAAAAGAAAAAAAAAAATCATAAGCAAACAACAACAAAAAACAAATTTAAAGAATGGCTGTCTGCTTAATTATCAGGGCCAGCCCCTGAAATCAGTGGGTCCGTATCATGTAGAGTTTGAGTTCTTTCCTGCCTTGAGTAACATGACTGACATCAGTAACATTAGTCAAGCGCTGCTCTTTTTGAAAAACTGTATTTCATTATTTTTATTCTAAACCTTATTCTATTTGATGAAGATTGCGGGAGGGGCCCTCCCAATTCCACCACTCACACATAACAGCGGTTGCTAGCATTCTTTATTTGTGCTAGGTCATCTGCATATTGTTTAAACATTCTTCGAGGCTGGCAAGACTGCTACCGCTCAGGCAATTCTGACTTGGCGGCCCTTCTAATTTGTATTCTCTAAATAATTCTTCATTTAGAGAAACAGTCAAGGATTACAGTGAGGGAGGGTGACGTGGTGATGGGGACAGAGCTTGGCCTTTGACCATTCTTCCCTTAGCTCTGCGCAGACAAGCGTCCCTAACTCGGTATCGGAACAGATCTCCCTTAAAGGAGGATTATGTTTCAACCCCCAGCCTCAGCAGTTTACTCAAATAGTCCTTCCAGCCAAATGCAGAAGTCTCCCTGGGAGTAATTTTGGTGAAGTCAGCGTTTGCCTTTTTCATCACAGTGAGGCTTTAGTAGTTCCTCAAAACGTGCACTACAACTGCCCGGGTGCCAAACAGAAATGCTGACGCCTGGGCCCACTCTAACCATTTGGCCTCGGCATCGCGGTGCGGGAGCGTGGAGGGCAGACTCGCATTGTCACAGGCACCTCCCGGCCTCCCGAAGAGCCCCGCGCCGGGGCCTTTGTCTCGCACGTCGGCTGGGGCGGGCGCTAGGTTCTCGCGGCCTCTTCCCACCGCTCTGCGCCCCTCCAGAAGCGGTCACCAAAGCTCAGCTACTGATTAGGTTTCGGCCCCGCTGTCCAGCGCATTCTCCGCGACTATCCCAGGTGGCCCAGCGCACGCGGTGATTCACCGCGCCCCCGAAAAAGGTGCTTCCCCGCCTTAGCCGACAACCGAGCGTGCGCACCGCGGCCGCCGGAAGTGACACTGTCTGTCGTTGGGGAGCTCCCGCCCCTTCCGCCTCGGCGCCCCGCCCAGGCCTCGCCCCTAGGTGTTCCCGCCCCTCCCCCTCCCGTGTGGTTCGCTTTCTGTCAGCCTCTCTCCCTCTCCCTCTCCCCTCTCCTTCCTCTCGCTTCCTCTCTCGCACCTGAGCGCACGCACCTGCCCGGGCCCGGCTCCCTCCTCCTCCTCCCCTCCCTCTTTCCCCGCCCGGCCGCGGGAGCTCGTGGCTGCGTCACCGCCACCCCCCCCAGACAAGATGGACACCGCGGAGGAAGGTAAGTCGGCGACGCGCGGCGCCCGAGCCCTTGCGTCGGCTCCCGGGTTCGTGCCCCGGCCAGGTCCGCGGCGCTCGAGGTGGGCGGCTGGAGCGCGGCGGGGCGGGCGCCTGGGCCGTTTACCCACCCGCGGGGCCTCTGGTCCGGGGAGCAGAAGGTGACCCTCTACGCGCCCCCAGCCGTTTCCCGCCCGCGCCGCCGAGGGGGGCGGGGACCCTGCCGGGCCGGGCCCGGGCCCGGGTCCTGGGGCGTCGGGGCTGCTCCGGGCCGGCGTGGCCTCCCTCGTCCCCGCCGTCGCGCGCTGGCCCAGAAGAGGGGGCCGTTGTCGCTGGCGCTGCCGTCCGGGGGCGTTTTCCGCACCCTTCCCCCACTGGGTTTTGTCTGTCTTTACGTCCTTCTGCCTATTGCTCGCCAGGCCCTACCCCTTCGCCACAGAACTTCTTTGTTGACTTTGAAACTTCGCGAAAAATACCCCGCCAGGTGACTGCCGAGTGGAGTGAGCTGACCCCTATTGAAAAGCCCGGTCCTCGGCTAGCCTGCAGCTCGAGAATCTGTTTACTAAACGGAGGGAGAGGCTCTTTTGTTGCGATCCATTTGGTTTTAAATCCTTGACACCTATAAGCAGGGTTCTCTTGGTTTTGTTTTGCGATTGCGTGTTGGATACGGTTACTTTGAACAAACTGACCCTTCTACAATGAATACCTAAGATATAAACGTCCACACCTTATGTCTCTTCAAGCGCATTTTCTTACCCACTGAAGGTAGTAAATTATTTTTAATCAGCTGTGTTTTTAAATGAGTGGTGAGTTTATAGAGGAAATTACTAAATTATTCTGCCTTTTTTGATGTTCCGGTTATCGGTGCAAATGCTTTTCTACTTTAGGTATATTTATGGGGGTATAAGCGTCTTTCAACCTTGTAGGTTGTGATTTTGGCAATTTTAAATGAAAATGAATTATCAGACGCCGTCATGGAGTGCAGTAATGAGTGAAAAAAGTTTGATATTATCTCTGTAATGAGTTGATAACGACTTACTTTTTTAAAAGAAGTCTTGCCTTTAATAAAAACCTCAACTATAACATGTGGCACTTGCTGTACATTCGCGTTTGATCTTCGTAAAAGGCCTGTGGAATAGGTAGGTATTATCTTTTATAGATGTGGAAATGTAGGCTTCGTTGTTTTAATAGCTTGTCGAAGCTTTACACAGGTAGTAAGAGACAGATTTGAATGTAGGCATTCTGATTGCAAATAATTTCCCTTTCATTATGCCACAGTATGTTTGTTATATACACTGAGTGTAGCTAATCGCCACTGGAGACGCCTTTGGAAAAAATAGTAAAGCGAAACTGCTGAAGGTTGGGAACTATTTCTTTTTGACAGGTGGTCCTTGTGTGTAAAATTTCCATCTATGTAGGTTTCACATCCTTTCAGATTCAAGTTTTAATGAATAAATCTACTAAGGCATGCATTTATCACAGGATAAGTACGGACGTATTATATTCAATTCTCATTCTTTTGGCCTGGGCATTGCTACTTGCATACTTTTATGGTGTGACAGTAACCTATGGTAATTCAGGAATTGCGCCCGAAGCACGTATGGAATCATGAAATATTTTCATTGTACTTCTAGTACTTAAATATATTTTTTCTCCTGTAAAATTATAATCAGGATAAGGTATACATGACATTTATTTGTTGAACACTGTTCCCTGTTAAAATAACATGTGCTGAAGACTCAAGGGGTAGAATATGCTTTACTAAGCACTTTATATACTTTTCATTTAATTCTGTCAACATCGTTAAGTAGGCGGCATTTTCATTTTACAGATGAGGGAACTGATGGTTAGTATGATTAAGTAACTTGTCCAAGATAATACAGGTAGTAAATGGCAGAGGCACGATTCAAGCTCATGTCTGTCAGACTCTGCACTTAAATTAGATATTTATTTATAAGTGGATACTAAATGTCCAATGTTGGAATTTATTTTTGTCACTCCCTCTATAGGATGGATCATTTTTATAATTTGGCGAAAATTTTATTTTGCTTTATTTTATGAAATTATTAGTCATGAAATGCAAGTGAATTTTAGTGCTATATTCTCATGCCTGCTTTTGCAAAATTTGGAAGTCTTCTGACATTTTTACAATAAAATTTAAGTTGAAATAACACTTAAAGGAAAAGGGAAGGTTATAGAGGATTAAAAATAATAGCGTGAAGATGCCAAAAAACTAATAAATGTTCTATTTGCGAAATCAGTTATTATAGATTATTTCTTTAAAAAATGCAACTTAGGTTTTTAAAATCTGGTATTTTTTGGTAGGAGATATTCAAAATATGGCCAAACATAAAACTAAATTGAAAAAAAATCAGTATCACCTACTTTTGAAAACACTAATGCTGTTGTGGTTCTGTTTTTTATTTATTTTTTTTTTGTTTTCTGAGACGGAGTCTTGCTCTGTCGCCCAGGCTGGAGTGCAGTGGTGTGATGTCAGCTCACTGCAACTTCCACTTCCTGGGTTCAAGCAATTCTTCTGTCTCAGACTCCTGAGTAACTGGGATTACAGGAGCGTGCCACGTCTCCCTGCTAATTTTTGTATCTTTAGTAGAGATGGGGTTTTGCCATGTTGGCCAGACTGGTCTCGAACTCCTGACCTCAGGTGATCTGCCTGCCTCAGCCTCCCAAAATGCTGGAATTATGGGCATAAGCCACCGTTCCTGGCCGGTTCTCTGTCCTTTAAAAATATATTTTAATATTCCGCGCAAAGAGATTAAGAATAATGTTACAAAGACACCAACCATGCGCATATAGTGTGTAGCTCTTCCCTTTTAAAAATAGCACGTTGCTTGCCTCTGATGGTACCATATATGATAGTCTAATGCTCAGAATGTTATGCATTTGTAGTAATACTCAGTTCTGACGTGGCCCTTTCATACTAATTGTTTGCTAGATTTTAAAGATCTCTTAAGTGTCTTCAGTATTAAATTTTTGTAAAATCAACAGGTTCATAATCCATTCTCATGATACAGGGATGGATGAATCATTCTTACTGTGTATATGTTATTTGTATGAGTGCAGATGTGTTATGTCAATTGCTATCCATCCGCACATTTTTAAACTTCAGAGCTGTAGGAGACCTTAGACATTTGCCCTCCTCATTTTATGGGTTAGGAGTCTGATCCTGCAATGCACTGAGACTTCTCAGTTTCACAGAAAAATCTATCCTTTGCTCAAGGATATACTTTTTTTTTTTTTTTTTAAAGGAAAAGCAGTACAATATTGGAATAGATGTTGCAAGTGTTGATGTGAAGTTCTCAAAGATAATATTATTTTGTCATAGAATGCCCACATTTCGGCTCAGTAATATAAAGCTGACTTTTTTTTTTTTCTATTTTGCTAAATTACCGTTTGTATTAGCAGAACATAATACAAATTCTTAGTAATTTTTTTATGGAATACCAAAGCAGTTGTTCTTTATGCTTTATGGAACATATTCATTTGAAAAGTGTGAAGCTAAAGAGTATTATGGTTTGAGGTCACTTAAATTTGGAAGAAATGAGTTAAAAGGATAGAAAGTTGTCAGAATCAGACAGCTAGTTACTCTCTTTCTAGAACCACATGGTCGTCTTTGTTTCCAGAGATGTCTGCTGCATGTTTCTTACCATACATCACCTTTCACTGTTTTGGCATGTTTGTGACCAAGTGTACATGCATTTATTTGTTAAATGCTTATTGAGGACCTGTTATGAGCCAGGCACTATTTGATGCATTTGGGCTAGGCAAGGAGCAATATAGAGAAAATCCTTTCTTTCATAGAGCTTACATTATAGTTATTAGCTTAAGACAAAATAAACATGTAATAAATTATATGGCATAACTGGAAGGCTATAAATGCTGTGGAGAACAGTGAATTGGGAGGGAATAAGAAGTGCCAGGATATGAGGGCAAGGGTCGCGTTGGTTTTTTTTTTTTTTTTTTTTTTTTTTTTTTTTTTTTGAGACGGAGTCTTGCTCTGTCACCCAGGCTGGAGTGCAGTGTCGTGATCTTGGCTCACTAGGTGTTGCAGTTTTAAATATAGCAGTAAAGGAAGGCCTCACTGAGAAGGGGCAAAGGAGAAGGAGTTAGCCCTGCAGATACTCTGGGCAGAGCGTTCCAGGCAGAGGGAATATAGCCTGTGTGAAGTCTCTTAAGATGGGAGCATGCCTAGAGTGTTCAAAAAATAACCAGGAGAGCAGTGTTGCTGTAATGGAGTAAGAGTTGGGAGAAGAGTAAGTATAATATGAGGTCAGAGAGATCATGGAGCCAATGGGGAGTGAGCATGTAGGACTTCACTGACTTTTACTTTAGTGAGATAGGGACCTATGGGAGGGTTTTGAGCTGAGGTGAGACATAAATTGTCTTGATATGCAGCCAGCCTTCTGTATCTGGGTTTTGCGTCCATGGATTCATCCAATGTCAGATGGAAAATACTTGGAAAAAAATAGATGATTGCATCTGTAGTGAACATGTACAGACTTTTTCTCTTGTCGTTATTCCCTAAACAATACAGTATGATGACTACATAACATTTATAATTATTCTAAGTAATCTAGAGATAATTTAAAGTACAGTTGACTCTTGAACAACATGGGTCTGAACTACATGGGTCCACTTACACATGGATTTTTTTCTTTAATATATTGGAAAAAATTTTGGAGATTTGCAACAATTTGAAAAAACTTGCAGATGAACTGTGTGGTCTAGAAATAGTGAGAAAGTTAAAAAGTTATGTCATTAATGCATAAAATATATGTAGATACTAGTCTGTTTTGCTCAGTATCATAAAGTATATACAAATCTGTCATGAAATGTTAAAATTTATCAAAACTTACACATACAAACATGTAATGGAGACTGCACATGGCACCGTTCACAGTTGAGAGATGTAAAGAAACTTAGATACAATATTAAATCATTAACTGCATGAAATTAACCTTAGTGCATACTGTGCTACTGTAATAA